CTTCTATGGCATGCATGAACACTTGCCTTACAATTGTTCGTGATTGTACGAAGTACATATTCGCTGTTGCATCAATTTTGCACCATTTACATTGTAGTGCCACTAGTGGTATCACCTGCATGCGTATTGAGTCAAACAAGGTTACCTCTGTATAATTATGCTTATCGTGGCTATCAAGAGCTTCGATGCGAATTCCCAGCCGACGAATGGTGTCCAGCTTGTGTTCAGCTCAGCTGGCACTCACAACTCATAATAATTGCGTTCTAGACGCCAGATGAGATGTTTCAGCTACAATGTAGACAAAACGTCCGTGTTCAAGAAAGCCGTCACTTCATCTTCTGTCCATCCTCAATAGCACGTTCAAGCAAATACGTCTGAAACACAGTAGCGACAATCCGACAGCGGCGACACGCCGTCTTCTCCGAATGAGCTTCTACCGTTCTAATTCAGATTCCCCCAAAAATGTCAAAATAAATAATAGATTTTCACCAAGCTCGCTAGAATCTTGCGAACCGTCAACATGCAGGCATTTCAAGTGTTCGAGCGTGCGTAGATTCTGCTCAGCGGCTCAAGAACATTCGCCAAGCGAAAAAAAGTCGATGAGAAAGATGTAATGGTGGACGAAATTACGAAAATCGGAAGAAGGTATTCGACCCAGTTTGACTATCCTGGACTGGATTGGCAACGTCCAACAATCGGATTCGTATTCTATGGGGTCTCATGAGCTAGTGTGCCAATGGGCGTTTAGTTGGAGCTTCAGTGCATCACCTTCGCCGAAAGAGGCCCTTTCTGAGATTTGGCCGATGGACTACAACGCATCGCATCGCATCGCGCTTTCGCATCGCAAAAAATAAAGTATGAATCGGCCTTGTTACCAGCCGACTCTCCACAATTCCGACTGGCGCCAACTCAGTATTCGTCATGGAACCGACTTCTACGAGTTACGGCGTGGTGCCTCCGGTTCCTCAGCAACTGCAAGAGGTCTGTCAATGCTCACAAAGCCAGCCTACCCATAAATTTCATATGGCATTCAATTGACCGTAACTTTGGTGTTTCTCAATGGATTTGAGTGAAATTTTGACCACACACTCCTGCCACTATGCTGGCCCTCAGGACATGATTTACAAGTTCTTGCGCCTCACTGACAGGCTTTCCAGGCCTGAAAAACTCAAATTTCCGGCATAGTGACTAGTGCCACGGTGTGCGAGCCACCCAGAAGCCAAACAAAATGCATTTACAATTTTTTCACATTTTCGTGCTCATTCTGTCCGTGCGCGGGACCCAAACCTAAAACAAGTCCAGAAGCAGCCATGGGTGATGGGGTAGGGCCCCTCAACGAGGCCCTGGAATCTGTCACAACGGAACGAGTGGGCGTTCTCTCACAGACTCACACAGACCCAAGTCAATTTTTGAATTTTTTTAGGTTTAGCACGTGCTACGAGGTCGTACCTTTGATTATAACATCCAGTGCTGGGACCTCCACAGCAAGCCATTTCCACAGCGCTGCACACCAAATCCAGGATACCCTCAGAAACCGGCAAAGACTACCACTCACGTTTCACTACTGCCTAGTACTGAATCCTACCTGACTGCTTGACACGACTCAAACTTGCCAAAGTCACTAAATCAACGTCACCTACAATTAGTCCTGCGGCCCAAATCTAAAAGACGTTGTTTTGCAAGTCCCGTTTCAGTCTCAAGCAGACAACCTGAGCTTTGCATGGGTGGAAAGACCATGTCCTAGGGATGTCGAAACGGCTTGTTGTCATGTCCAGAACTAGGGCATAAGCTGGGGAGCACCAATTATTTTAGGTTTCGTTACGGAAGTCGTTATTTTACGTTATTTTACGACTCCTTGATTAAAATTGGCAGCATGTGATACGATATTTTATTGAAAATTAGTGCAGTCGACGTGAATTTGTTCTTGTGTTTGGATGATTTGTAGATCATGGTTGCCCTTTGCCGAGCGTTCATTTCCTACCGATGGTGATTAGAGATGGCACAGATTGATTTGTTGTAAAATTTGACCGACATTACCCCCAAACATGGATCTTTCGTATGAGAGGATTTCATTTATTGGGACACTATCTCGACAACACCAGCGGAAAAGAGCTAGCACGAGCGAAGCAAAGGACAACGGAAAACGGCAGAGTGATAGCGATCATAAGCTGATCTTAGCAAACGAGCGATATGGAAGATGTTGTAAATAATAGCGCAGTATTTTGTCATTTGCTGCAGAGTTGAAAAGTACAATTCAAATTGAAATCAATTCAAAAAACTTCAATAGTGCGGTCCACCAGCCTTAGCTTTCAGACTCACTGTCCGATTCACAGTCGAACTTACAGTCCAATCCACTGTCGAAACTGCCTTCACCCTCATCATGGCATTGTGTACATGCGCGCGCGCACACACACACGTACACACACCGCACAACACATGGCATTGTGCGCGCGCGCGCTCGCACACACACATACACAAACCCCACACACACACACCGCACAACACATGGCATTGTGTGTGCGCGTCCGCGCGCGCACACACTCACACACCACATAGCACGCTAGAGATCAGCAAGAACCTGCTGCGACCGTGGTTGAGATGGCGCTGTAGAAGACACCGCAGCCGCCACTGGTTGCCTCGCACCCGAGGTTGTAGTCAAAGCCGTACTATCCGACACATCTGTACTGGAGGCTGATGTAGTACCCAGAGATGAAACTGATCCACTGGTGTTCACCTGACGCGGCGGAGTAGCGGATCCTTTGAAGCCGAAATGAGCGGGCAACACGACATTGGCGGGGACAAGCCCAGCGGATATCGCAGCGGGCCTATCGTAACTCCTGGCAGTGAGCCTATCGTAATTCCCCTCGTAACTCCTGGCATTGGGCCCGTTCTCTTGCCGGACACTGGGGTGCGGAGTGGACGTGGATGCGGGCAGGAAATCTGCGGCGACCGGCTGGACTGGGATGGTTGGAGTCGGGCCAGGTGCGTTACTAGTATGACTGTCCGGCAATGACTGGGTATTACCGGCCATCGGACCGTTTGCAGACGACAGAGACAAGTGGTTGCTCCGTGAAGAGTGCGCCTGTATACCCATGCCACTTACCATACATGTCAATTGCTGAAGGAAACACAATTCAAACACAAAACGCAAATGAAACACGCCAATGAAATTCGATCCTTAAACAAGTCAAGTTCGCATGTCCGCGTTATCACGGGCTATACAATTGTGTTTAGAAAACAACCAGTTTATAATTCTGTCTCCTCTTGCATAAAGTCAGCCTAGAATACTGACGTCAGCTTTGGACATTACTCTGACTCGGACCACAAGCCCTGATTTATTCTGACCTACATGTGTACCGTGTAAAGTAGCGCGAGAGCCAAGCTGGTCGTAATAATACGTGTAACAGCCACGAACATAATTCAACCAAAGAAGACTACCACATTACATGAGCATGAACACTTGCATTCCATTTAATACATTCCTATGTTGTAGATGTCAGGCACTGTAGTGTTCACGTCTTCATACACATTGTGGCATTCCTTGGCCACCCAGACATTCATGATAGTAGCGCATCGTGTTATGTTATGCATGCAGCATGTGCCGTTTCCCGAGCGTGCGTGTGAAATGAACTTAGCGGCTTTTAGTTGCTGTGCATGAGTTGAGTCTGGACTCATGATCTGGTGTGTACATGCGATCATGTGATCTTGTAGTTGAGCGTATGTGTTATTTGGATTTCCTTGGTCATGACCAAACAATAAAACATGATCAAAATTATGTCTACACATTCAACAATGCCAAGAACTCACCTGGTCCCCAAGTAGTTCATTATCTTCTTTTTCAGCATGAAAGTTGGATACTAAGGCGGAGTGTGATGGCCGGCCAAGCTGGTGCCGTTTGCAGTTATTGTACTTATCCGTGAGAAGCTTCATGGGCAAGGCCCTTGCAGACTTCAACTCGGACTGTATATACAGCACCAGGCTGTCAAATGTTTCGTAGGCCGACGGCTGGTCACTCCCTTTGCCACTTCGTTGCCGGTGCATAGTGGCCAGGTGGGTGAAGGCACTGTAGCATGCTCCGACGTTGATAGTGGATTTCTGCTGCAACGCAATCTGGGCCATTCTGGAGCGAAAGCCAAAATTATTGCGTTGTTCTCCAACTCTGCTAGATGCACATGTCATGAGGCACAAGTCTGCAGATGTGGATCCAATCATTTTACATCTCTCCTTGTTCTACACTTTGCTGGTACATGGTGTCCCATCATCACATACATGTATCTCCTCCTTGGCCACGTCCAAGTGGCAGCCGACCCAGCAACGTTTTGTTAGTGTATGTACTGTAGCACTTGCGGTGGTACCATCCGCGGACGCTCTCCTCGGTGCAGTGGCTCTTGCACAAGAAGGTATAGCTCGTCCTGCCTGCACTTAGCAGCTTCAAACAAAGTTTCCCAACTCTGCAAAGTAAATCGGGTTTGCTTTTCCTGCGATGCATTGAACGCAATGGCACAAGCAAAATTCCCGCGATACAACGCCATTCCCAGGACGAGGCCTAAGAAGCTCCACGGCCTTTTCCTCAATCATGTCAAAAGGTGTCTACCATGCTGTGAGCGGTGGGCAGGAGGCACTCAAACAGCGCGAAACGCAACTACTGACACTCCCCCCGATTGACCACAAGTCTAATAACATTATAATTAACAGATTACTCAACGCGATACAACACGTTCAATAAATAATTACATGTCCAGAACATTATGAGCATTGAATGATAGCTGCATAAGCTCATAGCGGTGGTCAATCAGACCTGTGGGGTAACTCATAATTATTCTGACTTCAAATTAGTCCACAGTTTCTTAACTGCATCGGCAACGCAGCCGCTTGTACTGCCGCCGCTCGCTGTGGCCTGACGGATTGCAATGGCTCAGTCTCAGGTGCTTGACGATTCGGAACCGTGACTGCTTCCTCGGCACAGACTTCGAGTGGGTAGAGACGCTGGATGGGCCTCTTCAGGTGCGTAACGCTACCTTTCTTCGGTGTTGCGGTTTGACCTTCGCTGCACGAGCAATGCCATCATGACCCGGGATTAACTCGACTACTAGGCCAAGAGGCCACTGTTGGCGCTTTGCGTTCTCGTCTTCGATGAGCACCACATCCCCGACGCGAATAGGTGTGGCGTTGGCATTGAATTGTTGGCGGTGGGCATTCCTTAGTTCCAGCAGGTACTCACGACGCCAACGAGTCCAGCTATGTCGTATGAGTTGTTGTAGGTGCTCCGCTCGCTCTCGTACGACTTCAGCTGTGGCTGCACGTGGGATATGCTCCGCATCTGGCATGGACCTAAGTCGACGGCCGAGTAGCAGATGCGATGGCGTCAACGGCTCCGTCCATTCTTCCGTAGAGAGGAAGGTCAATGGCCTGGAGTTGAGGGTACATTCGACCTCTGCCAGCACCGTCACCAGCTCCTCACCAGACACATATGCATTGCCCAACACTTTGCGGAGGCAACGCTTGACGCTTTGCACAAGTCGCTCGAAGAAGCCTCCCCACCAAGGGGCCTTCTCCACATTGAACTGCCACTGAATGTGGTGTTCAGCGGAGAACTGCTGACATTCAGCAGATTGGGCGATACTGCACAGCTCACGCGCTGCTGCCTCGAACGTCTTGCCGTGGTCACTGATGACAAAACACGGGAAACCACGACGTGCCACAAATCGCCGAAAGCATCGCATGAAGGCTTCCGTTGTCAGGTCACTGACCAGCTCCAGGTGGACAGCACGACTCACAGGGCAGGCGGAA